GTAAGAGAGAGATAGGCAAAAGCTAAGCGTAAATGGAAGTTACGGTAATGTTAAGTAGAAGTGGAAAACTCTTAAAACGAATGGAATAAAACATCGATAGGAGAGAGGCAGGTACGGAGGGGAGAAGGAGGGAGCAGATGGAAGGGAGCCGGTAGGAAGGAAAGGAAGGAAGTTGGTAGAGGATTTAAGGAGGAATTAAAGAATCAGGAAAGATAAGACAAGAAATCAGGGAGGAAATAAGAAGAGAAAGAAAGGAAGTCGCGGAAGAGAAGGCCTTGGAAGCATTAAGGGAAAGGGAAGGTGGGTACTAGCTGGCATGTGAGGCCGCCCAATGGCCAGGATTTGAAGGGGAAACAGTGTAAAGGGTTGGGTACGTCTCTGTAAAACGCCATGTATGCCGAGAAGGGAATCATTATCTTTAATAAAAAAAAAGGTAGTATAGGTTAGATATTGTAGCCTGAACTCCCGAAGTCAACATCAATTTGACATTGCGTCGATTGTAAAACCCCACTTAGGCTACTAAGCTCTATCAATTCATAAAAAGATTAAATTTAAAATTAAAAAGTGTGCAAATTAGAAACTTGCACATTGCTTTCTCATCATTACAGATCACTACTATTGCTCCTATTTTATTTCGCTCATAAAGCTTCCTTTATGAGGCAGCCAAAACAAATAAATACTAATAATTATGCATCAAATAAAATACAAGCTTCCTAATAAAGGAGCTTTGTGAGCAAAATAAAATAGAACCAATGGTAGCGATCTGTAATGATGAGGAAGCATTGTGCAAGTTTCTAATTTGCACACTTTTTTATATAATACTTATGGTAAGTAAAGAATAAATATTTGTAGCGATATTTTGTAAATATTTCTCAAATATTTGCTGGAAACGCTTGGAGCTTAATATAGTAGTGTGTATTACTAAATATTGTTGAGCGCAGCGAGTATTGGGGGGGAATACAGCAGGGCAAAAGTAAAAAAGACACGTTTATTGCAGAAATATGTTTAGATAGTTTATTACGAGTGTATACGCACGAAAGTCGAGAGAGCTACAGTCTTGGAATAAAAGGATAACGTAGAGCGTAAAAATGTAGGGAGCGTGAGCGCCCTCTATAACAATGCTATTTGTATGATGTATTAACAAATATACAATATTATAAAATACGATGTATATATAATATTTTTATTTTATTATAGGTGGTAGATTGGAGAGGTAACGATTGGTTCAAAGGTTCTAAAATACCAGCTGCTCATCTAAATTCAAGATTCTGTACTCCAGCCAAACAATGTCCCATTATTGATCCTTCTTGGGAAGATCCAGCTGGGGTCCCGATCGATGCTATACTATTCGGAGGACGAAGACCCGAAGGTGTACCTTTGGTTTATCAAGCTCGAAACTGGCAACATGGTGTTTTTATCGGTGCTGCAATGAGATCTGAGGCTACAGCCGCCGCTGAACACAAGGTATATTAACATTTATATTGACGCTGCGCCAAATCTAATTATTTTAATCAAAAGAGCAAATGCAGATTTTAATAAAAATCTGGTCTCTATGTAAACAAAATACCACTGAAATATATAGAGGAAAGTCCTCTATTATGAGATAAGGATCCTAATATGAGATGGCGGAGTTTTTTCATGATGGGATCAACAGATGGAGCCTATATAGGGCCTTTTAGCTTAACATATCTCTTATTAGGATTCTGTCTCATAATAGGAAACTTTTCTCTACTAACTGGGGCGCGCGCTAGGCCTGCGTGTGCGATATGGGAGAGAGAGAGAAAGAAAGAGAGAGAGGGGGGAGAGAGAGAGAGAGAGAGAGAGAGAGAAAGGGAGAGAGAGGGAGAGAGAGGGAAAGAGAGGGAGAAAGAGGAAGAGAGAGGGGAAGAGAGAGAGGGAGAAAGAGGGAGAGAGGGGGGAGGGAGAGAGGGAAAAGAGAGGGAGAGAGAGAGAGGGTGAAAGAAAGGGGGGGAGAGAGAGAGAGAGAGAGAGAGAGAGAGAGAGAGAGAGAGAGAGAGAGAGAGAGAGAGAGAGAGAGAGCAAAGTGTCTCAAGTAGCCCTCTGATGTCATTGTTTGTTCTTCTTGATCGACCTGTATCTTATCCCCACCCCATCCTTTCGACTCTTGACTACGTTGTGGGCTAGACAAAGATAAGGGAGGAACTTCTCTCTCATAACGCTCGCCTACGGTGGTTTTGTATAGCAGCGCGCGTTCCAGTTATGTGGGGTCTACAATGCGAGTCGTAAGTCATAAGTCGTAAGAAATTGACCAATTACGGTCGAATTTGACGGGAATAATCGACTGTGTTTGGTCAATTTCTTATAACTTACGACTCGCATTGTAGACTCTGCATTAGTATATAAATCTCAAGTACTCACAACTCATCGCATCGCGTAGATACACGGTGCGGTCTTACTTTGCGTATACTTGGCGCGAGACACTACCATGTATCTTGATTTTAGTGTAAAATACGTTTATAAAATACGTAGAAGTAAAAACCAATGTTACAAACCAACGTTACTGACTGAATCTAACATACTTTGTAGGGTAAGGTAATTATGCACGATCCGTTTGCCATGAGACCCTTCTTTGGTTATAATTTTGGACATTATCTCGCACACTGGTTAAGTATGGCACACGTGAAGAATGCCAAATTGCCAGCGATATTTCACGTAAATTGGTTTCGGAAAGATTTGGACGAAAAATTTTTATGGCCAGGATTTGGTGAAAATTCACGTGTTCTCGATTGGATTCTTCGAAGGATCGATGGCGAAGATATTGCCGAGGACTCAGCTATTGGCTTATTGCCGAAACCAGGATCTATCAATTTGGAAAATCTCAAAGATGACGTGAACATGACGGAATTATTTAGATTACCGAAAACGTTTTGGCAAAAGGAAGTCAAAGATTTGAAGGAATATTTTGACGCTCAAGTGGGAAATGATTTACCCGAAGCTATTGCAATGGAACTCATTCGACTCTCTGATAACATTAATAATCTTTAATTTCCTTATTTTATAATTATATATTAAATCTACTTATGTTCTTCAAGTATTCGCAGCTTTAATATAAAATTACAATAGTAATACAATTATGATATTGATACAAAATTATGTAATAAGACTTTATCGACATAATAACAATCTTAAAAATAGAAAAGTTTTGTTTGATGTGCTACATTGTTACATTGTATAACACAAGATTTTACACAATAATTTTATATTAAAGTGTAGAAAGAAAATTATAAAGGATTGTATAAAAAATAGGAAAAATATAATAATTGTTCATATTATAGAACGATGTCCGCTTTAAGTAAGTCTTTGATAAATAGAATTCGACTTCCTTTTAATAAAAATGTAATGTTATTTTTTTTATAATTAATTTTTAATATTGTATATTATTATGTTGATATATAACCAAATCATTTTATAATATTATTAAAATAAATTAATATTTAAAATATATGAAAAATGAAGTTTTGCTATTCCTATTTGTATAACTAAATTTTATTTTGCAATATTCAATAGCGAAATAATCACTTTATTTTATTGTATAGATTTATTAATCATGTTTTTAAATATTTGACAACTTTTCTTCATTTCAATAATAAAACATCGCTAAAGTTGATCCTAGTTTAATTTATAACGAATTGGATTAGATGTACTTAGTGCGCACTGATATTAAAGCCGTTGTATACTGACCCGGGAGAAAAGAATTAGATCTACCGAGATATGACCAATGACCATCTGGTGGTTTATCTGCAAATTGTCTTTATCTGGCTAGATCTGAACAGATATAACCAGATCTGATCAAATATAATTTGATTTGTCGAGATGTAATTATTTACCAAAAGTATCCAGATCTGCTCAGATATAATTAAAAATCATAAAGGGATATAAAACACTATAAAATTATAAATATATCGATTAAATTCAAAAGTGTGCTATTTTATTATAAGCTTGGACTCCGATAAAACTGATATAAATTGTACCGTACACTTGATTTATGTACCGTTTTTTATACCATCGTTTGTCATATTTTAAATACAAGAAACGAATCTGATCGAATGCCATCTATCGGATTATCCGACATTTGTGTGTATAACCAGTAAATAATTCTTATTAATTAAAGTCAAAAATGTAAAGTTTCTAATAATTCGAGTTGGTAAATTATTTATGCAAGTCTCCAAATAACAAAAATTTTTAACGTAATCTAGCTATTAAATAATAATCAAATTAAGAATTTTTTCACTTTTGTTTATCCATTATCTATAAGCTTACAATGTACGAAATAACTTATATTTCTGTGATTATCTTTTGTATTTTAGATATAAAGCGAATTGATGAAAATGTTTTTATAACAAATAACTAATATTTTTTTGTTTATAAACAAATACTTGTCTTCTGCAAATTATATCTTTATTATAATTTATTTTGATATAATTATGTCAAAGATATTTAATTAAATATATTTAATTTGCTATGTATATAAATAAAATCATATTTATATATTCAAACATCACATTAGACGAATATCGATCATCGAACATTTAATTTATTATAGTTAAACATGACCAGATATCGTCAGACCTGAACAGTTTTCGATCAAACACAACCTCACTTCGACTTATATCTGGACAGATATGGATAGATGTAATGTATTTTGAATCTCATTCGAGTATAGATATGGTTATATATAAACAGATACAGTCAGATCTGGACTGTTTCGATGAAATTCAATCACAGATATGGTTCGATCTGAGCAGATATGGTCCAATTTGAGTAGATATGGCCCGATCTGAGCCGTCAAAAATCAGATTACACGCCATATATATAGTTATACATAATTATATATGAACATATATGACCAGATCTGCGCAGACATGAAAAGTCATATCTGAGCCTATCTGACCAGACAGATCTGGTCAGACCTAATCCTTTTTTCCCGGGGATTTAACATCTAATCTTTAAAGTAAAATGCAAATATTGACCGATAAAATGCCTAATATATATTTTACAAATAGCACAATAAAGAATATTGAAGATTTCGTGATTTAACCCGTTTAACATGCACTTTACGTTGATTCGTGTATGACGGCTTTAAGGATGTATCACACGTACAATCTTAGACAAAAGTGCATGAAATTTGAAATACTTGAATATCTATGCCTAACGCATAGTAAATCTAGATGTAAGATACTCAAATGATAGTAGGAGTCTTATTTTTACTCCTAGAAAAGTATTTTTTACTTTATAAATGTTTTTTCCGTATTATTTGCGATTTTTGTAATTTATGAGCCTAAACTTTTGGCAGTGAAAATGCCCTGATTTCAACTTCATAATGTCAAATTATTTCAAAACAAAAGACATTATTCAGCAGTGCTGATAAACAAATGTGACTTTAATAACGTCAAAAAAGATAAATATGTATCATATAAACGATAATTTTGAATATTATTTATTATAAACATTGTTATGCGACTCTCTCAAAGGAGACGTAACAACGATTCACGTAGGTTGGCAGCCTTGCACAGTACCAAAACAGTGCGAGCTGCGAGGTGCGAGGTTATGTCTGTTTGTTTACATTTTTACAATAATCCCGCTATGTTTCTCATTTCCCATTTCTATCACTTCACGAGTGCAACGGAGACAAAAAGTTAGCTAGAAGTAATAGAAGGCATATATTGTATACGTGTAGCGACAGCCGTAGGTTATGCTTCGCTTACCCAGCTGATTGCGACGTTGCCGCGCTTTCACGAGCCATCGAGATACATTCGTGCCGACAGCACAATTATCTCAAGTTATAATTTATTTCTTTAAAACGGTGTAGTGAAGACAATTAAAACTTGGCAGATATTTTCATCTATTCGTATACTAGATGTACAAAAAAATTCAAAATATTGGTAGCGCTCCTTCAACATTTTTTTAGCTGTTTTATCCGCCAAAATCGTCTCTTCCCATAAGAATACGTGTAAAATCAGTGAAAATTAAAATCGTTATATCTCAGCAACCGTTTAGTGGATTCGTTTCTACTTTTTTGTAGCACATCAGGAAGACTAAAAGAACATTCTCACAATATTTTATCCACTTGGTAGCGCTTTGAAAATAGGTGCAATACATCCTTAATGTGCATTGTCAGTGTGCACTAACAATGAGTGTATACAATCGAATTCGCTATTAGGATATGTTGACTGAAGACATGCATATAGTATTAGAAAAAATGCTCCATGCAGATAAAATACATTTTATTTTAATATACTTTTATTTAGTTTTAATAGAAATATTCATGGGACAATTTTATCGTATCTAATATTATTTAATTATATTACATGTCTATTATGATCTATTTTATAGAAATTGCTATTAAATATACAATGATATGTAAAAACATATTATATTTTGTATGTGTGCATATTACAATATCCAATATGATAATAATTCAAAAATATCGTAAATATTGTAATTGCGCTAGTGCAGTAATTATGATATGTAATATTGAATCGTCTACTATAATTACCATTTAAATGATTTAAATGGTACATATTCGCTTCTTGACATACAAAACTTTTGTATAATTAAATTGAAATATTTGTTAAAGATATTTTATACTCTCTAGACTCCATCGTATATATTGATCATTGAAGTAAAAAAGTCGACGTGAGATGAGTTAATTTGAACAAGATTTTGTGTAAATTATCCAGATAGCTAAGTGTGTCTGAACAAAATCGCGCAAACTTGTGATTGCTTATGATGCTGGTCACTTGCCATATATTTGCTTTAATGATTTCGAGTAATTTAATATTTGAAGCAACACGCAGGCAACATTGGTGTATGTATTGCCAGCAAATTTATCGACAAGAGAGCAGCATCAAATTTACTTCGCGTTGCTAGCAATATAACAACATATTGTGTGATCCTATGAATTATTACAGCAACATGACAGCAACAGCTCGAATTTTGAATCAGTTAAATGGGTGACGATTTTAGACCGCAGCATAAGTTGTCAACAAGTTGCTGGCAAGTTGCTGTACAAAATTGTTATATCGTGAAGGTATCAACTTGGCGACAAATGAGACTCAGTTGCCACAATTCTAATAGCAACACATACTATGTTGTCGGCAACATGCCAGCAACAATGCAAAAACGTTGCTATCTGGGTTCTTTCTCGATGCAGTTAAATATTATATATTCGGACTCTGCATTTTTTACACTTTTGCATTTCTAGCGAGCTTTTGATCATTATAACGTTTCTTCCTGTGTTGCTTTTTTATTATTTCATATTTGTTATGTAAAATTACCATATATTCGCCGTACAGCACATAATATTTTTAAAATATTTTTTAGGAAGATTAAAATAATTCACAAAAATAATTTTTGGTAATTCTACAGAATAGGGCCTTTTCCGAATTTTGATATTTTCTTGCGGTTTTTTTGGTAAAAACTTTTGTTGTGACTCCGACAGTGATAATCAATCGGGGGAGCCCGAAAAATATGCACTCTACCTATTTTTTTTACCTATTTTTACTTTATTTTTGATAAATGTCTAGATTAAGGGCGACCTTACCGATTTCAATGACCTTGATATATGTTGTCAAGATCACGACCCCGAGTGACCTTCAGAAGGTTTTAGCCATCGCTCGTTATTCGTTAAAAAGTTATTAACAAAAAAAGTTTGGAAAATACGTAGGTTAGATGACGCGCTTCAAAAATATTTAACTGTTTAAAGCGCGTCATCTAACCGTGCGTGGCATCTCGCATATTAACTTTCCACGCATGAAAAGTTCACGCATACACTTTCCACGCGAACCGAGGTTCACGCACACCCTCCCCCCTGCTTTCGGGGGAGGTGCGGTAGCCCCGAAATAGTTCACGCATACACTTTTCACGCGAACCGAGGTTCACGCACCCCCCCCTGCTTTCGGGCCGGCCCGCTAGGTTGTCATCCGGACCCGTCGGGCGAAAGGGAATCCGGTTCCTATTCCGGAACCCGGCAGCGGAACCGCATACAATTCGGGCCCTCGTAAGAGTGTTCGTCGGGGTAACCCAAAATGACCTGGAGACGCCGTCGGGAGATCCGGGAAGAGTTTTCTTTTCTGTATAAGCGTTCAAGTTCCCTGGAAACCTCTAGCAGGGAGATAGGGTTTGGAACGCGAAGAGCACCGCAGTTACGGCGGTGTCCGGATCTTCCCCTCGGACCTTGAAAATCCAAGAGAGGGCCACGTGGAGGTGTCGCGCCGTTTCGTACCCATATCCGCAGCAGGTCTCCAAG